AGGAAGAGGAAGCGGAGGAGGAGGAGGACTCTGCAGCAGCTCCATGTTCCTGGCACCAAGCTCTTTGTACCCGCCCGCGTGCCTGTCCCGTCGTGGGGCTGCCTTCTGCTCTCTAGCAACATAAGAGGCTTTTATCTGTAATAAAAGGTATTTCTCTTTTTACTCCTTGCTGGGAAATACTCCATCCATCCGTCCATCCATCCATCCATTGCCCAGGGCCTGGCAGGTCTCCTCCTGTGCCAAAAGCCTCCTCAAATCCCGCTCTCCCCTTAAACCTGAATTTTTAGGTTCTGCCATGTGCTGCTCCAGGGAAGGAGCTGCCCCATTGTGCTGTGACCCCCAATCCCCGTGCCTTGGGGACCATACACAGGCAGGGATGAGGATACTGAGGGCCAGGAGGTGAAGGCAGCATCTACAGGACCTGGAAGGGGAATCACATCCTCCTCTGCATCCCATGAGGTGCTCAAACCAGCAAAGGTGGCAACAACACAAAGAATAACCCCAAATCCAACCCAAACCAGCCACCTTGGCCGCATCTGCTGACCGGAGCTTGGAGCTGTGCAGGAGGGACAGCCTGGGCCTGTGCCAAGGCAGGCAGCAGGGATGTGGGGACATGGGGACCTGGGCCGCTGGCAGCCGGGTGGTTCCCGCCCCCACATGTTCCTGCTAGAACAAGGCACTGGAGATAAGGGTTTGTTTACTGGTATTAATAACTGGATGGCTCGAGGCGGATTTCTGTCTCTAAGGCAGCCTGCGCTGGGAAGGGAGGGGGAGAAAAAAAAAAAAAGAAAATAAGAAAAAAAAGGGCAATGGTTATTTTTAGAAAAGCTGGGAAGATTTGTTTGTTTTAGCAAAAATAGCTTCCCCCAGTGACATGTCCGCTCAACGGAAACAGCCCCCACCACAGTGAGCAGCGGAGCGAGGGACACACAGCCACGTGTGGCACCGGTGCCAGCCCCCTCCGTGTCCCCACGGGCAGCAAGCGCTTGTCATCTCCCCAGCTCAGGGCTCCAGCACGTTCTCCTTCTGCTCTGCCTCAGTGGGGATTCTCTCTGCCCAGGTGTCCCCGTGCCCAGGGCACAGATAAGGATTCGCCCTCGCTGGGCCCTCTGAAAAAACCCCGTCTTGCCCATCGGTGTGGGGTGGGTGAGACAAGTCCCCTGCTCTCTGGTCACAGCTGCTGGACCACAACCACTGTGCTGGAGCAGCTCTTCAGAGCCAGGAGCCGAGAGCAGCGGCGCTGACCCAGCGAAGGACAGCCCTTCCCTGCAATGCAGTGCTGTCCTGGAGAGACCCGCGCTGGTCGGCGGCACTGAGGACACACCGGGGCTGATGCAGCTTCAGTGGGAGCTGCAGGGATGGAGCTGATCCCACCTCACAGCTCCAGGCATGGGGATGCCACCACACCAGGGCAGGATGTGTCCCAGGGCTGTGGGATGGTGCTGCTGCCAGATGTGGTCTCTGTTGAGGTATCGTGGTGCTGGCAGTTGGTGCTGGAGCTGGGCTGGGTGAGGAGAGGCGGGGC